TATTTCTTACTTTTACAAAAAAAAAAGGAAAAATACTAAAGCTAAAATTAATAATTTAAATTAGTTTAAAGAATATTAATTTAATTATGCCCTATTTTATATTATTTTATTTTATTTTATTTTTTTTATTTTATTTAAATAAATATTATTATTATTTTTTTTTTTTTTTTTTTTTTTAAAAAAATAAAAGTAATTAAAAATTTACAATCACAAATTAAATGAGCTGATTTTATAATCTATACAACATTGTAATGATTGATTATTTTTTTTTTTTTTTTTTTTTTTGATTAAACCCAACAAAAATATTTTTTTTTACTTACATAAAAAATTAATTATTTGTTTAGCTAAATATATTATATCCAATTAATTTTTTTTCTTTTATTTTTTTATTATATTTTATATCTTTCTTCTTTTTTAACAAATTAAAAAATACTATTACCAAAGGTCATATTTTAAATCTTTCTTTTACACTTTCTCAATTTTTTAATATTTTTAAGAAAGTCTTGTGGCTTATTTTAAAGAAATTAGACTACTCTCAACAACACACCAATCTTTGTATACAGAGAATATTCATTCACATAAAATTCTTTCAAATCAGAGAGATTTTCATTTTTTTTTTCCGCAACTACAAAATAAAATTTTTTTTAATTTTTTTTATTTATTTTTTTTTAATTTTTTTTTTTTTTCCAAAGAATCTAGCTGATAAAAATAAAAAGGGCTTGTGCCTTTGTCAAAAGAAATTAGTGAAAATTAAAAAAAAATATTTTAATTTTTTGTGTAAATGTGTTACACAAAGAAATGATGTTTAAAAATCACTGCTTCTTATAAATAAATTATTTTTTAAAGAAAAACAAAAAAAAATAATTTATGATTTCATACTTAAGTATAATTTGTGTAAATATAGGTTTATAAAAAAAAATTTGTTTGAAAACAATTTTTTATTATTATTATTATGGTTATGAGAATCGGTGATATGGTTTTTGCCTTATATAAATATAGCAAAATGATGTAACCTGCTATTTTTTTTTTTTTATAAATAATATATGTTTTAAATAATATTTGAAATGAAGTTGATTGTTTTTTTTTTAAATAATATTATTTATTTATTTAAAAATTTTAATAATTTATTATATATTTTTTTTTTTTTTTATTTTTATTTTTTTTTTTTAATCGCTTTATTCGTCATCTGGTGAACCTGATTGTTTAATAATATCATCAATCTTTAAAATCATTTTAACGACTTGATTGGCTAATAAAAATTGTTGAGTTTTACCTGGAAGAGTGTCAAAAACGAATTGAGCTTTCATGTCATTTGTATTTTTGTAGTTACAATCAATACCAAGATGTGGATTGTTTTCTTTAATTTGTAAAGCTTTAACACCGGATAAGGCTTCGATTGGTTCAAGACCACTATTTTCAGCTAATGCTAATGGAATGGCATCTAAAGCATCGGCAAAGGCTCTAACAGCATATTGTTCAATGGTTGGGATTTCGTCTGCTTTGCTTGCAATCTTTAAACCACATGAAATTTCAGCTGAACCACCACCATAAATAATTCTATTATCTCTGATAAGATTACGAGTTACGCATAAAGCATCATGAATACTTCTTTTAGCTTCTTCAACAATCTATAATATAAATATAAAATTAAAATTAATAAAATATAATATTTTTGATATTTTTTTTTTTAATTTTAAAACTTACCATTTTATTACCACCTCTAACAAAAATTGTAACAGCGTTTGTATTTGGACAATCTTCGATTGAAAGGTAACGATCTTGGGTGGTACCAAAACCAATTTCTCTAACAAGACCAGCTTTACCTAATTTATCAGCACTAACATCTTCGAAACGAGCAACAATACGACCACCAGTTGCCATAGCAATTTTTTCAAGATCTAAACCACCAACCCAACGGACAGCTGGTAAACCATTTTGAAGAAGTAAATGATTGGCTTCATCATCAAAACCCCATTGACAAAGAACTAAATTTGCACCAGTTGCTTTAACTTTTTGAACCATATCTATAAAGTATTGTTGTTCAATATCACCTAATTTCTTTAAATCTTCAGCTTTTGTAATTTCGATTGAATTCTAAAATAAAAAAAAAATAAAAATAATTTAAATTAGTAAACATAAAATCATAAATATTTATATATTATATAATATCACTATTATAATAAATATTTATATATTAATATTTACCTTGGTTTTTGGTTTTGGTGGTTCGAATGGACAAGTTAAAAGACAAATTTTAGCATCTTTAATAGTTTTTGGCATTTGTGGATGGGAAATACCTTTATCGATAATAATACCTTTAATTAATTGAGTATCTTCTAATTTACCACCTTCTTTACCTTCTAATTTAATATTTTCAAAGTTTACATCTTTACGTTCCATATCGGCAACAGAGACAACAGCTTTAACAGCGATTTCACTCATTTGACGATGGAAACGATTGACAATTTTTGAACCTAAACAAGTCATTGCAGTTTTAACTAATGGTTCAAGATCATCTTTTGAGAATGTAATTGAATCTGAAATTGATCCTAAATGTTCGATGGCAATCTTGCAAGCAACTTCATAACCTTCATAAATACGACATGGATGAATACCTTTTTCGATAAGACCTTCAGCTTGTTCTAATAATGAACCTGCTAAAACTACAACACCAGTTGTACCATCACCAATTTCGTCATCTTGTGATTTTGATAATTGAACCATTAATTTGGCGATTTGATTGTCAACTTGCATATTTTCGAGAATAGTTGCACCATCATTTGTTACTGTAACTTCACCATCTTGACTAACCATCATTTTATCCATACCTTTTGGACCTAATGATGATTTCATAATATTTGAAATGGTTTTGGCTGCAAGGATATGAGCTTTGTGAGCTTCAATACCCTTTAATCTTTCTTTTGCTTGTTGTTCTCTTACAATAATGAATGGACGACCATATTCATCAAATGCTAAACTCATTTTATTCTATATATATATATAAGTTGATTTATTTAAAAAAAATAAAATAACTATAGGTGAAATATGCTATTTGATGAATTTAAAAAAAAAAAATTAAAAAAAAAAAAAAAAACTATTTTTTTCAAAAAAAAATTAAAAAAAATTTAAAAAAAAACTTTTTTTTTTTATTTTTTTTTTTCTCATTTAAAATAATTAAAATAAAAATGTTGATGAATTCAAAATAAAACAATAATTTGATTTTTATTTCATTTTAGAATAAATGATCCAATATACTTTTAAAGCTATTTGATTTTATTATTTGATTTAATTTTATATTTTCTAAAATCCCCAAAAATTTCCGTTGTAAAAAAAAAAAAAAAATTAAAAAAAAATTAAAAAAATTAAAAAAAAAAAAAAAAAACACACACACATTTAATTATTCCAATGTTTAATTATGATTTTAAATTCATATTCATATATATAAATAAGTTGTTGATCAATCCCTATAAATATAATAATTAGGTTTTAATAAAAAAAAATAAAAAATAAAATTTTTTTAAAAAAAAAAAAAAAAAGTTATTTTTTTTTCGTTTTTTTTTTATTTTATTTTTTTATAAAACTTTTTTTTATTTTTTTTTTTTTGTTATTTATTTTTCTTGACTTTCGTTTTTCTATTTACTATTTTTTTATATCTTTTATAGGATTTAATATACAAAAAAAAAAGAAAAGAAAAGAAAAGAAAAAAAAAAAATCAACAATCACACAAATACAACTAATATTCCATACATCACATAAAATAAATAAATAAAAAGAAACAATGGTTAAACCAAAGAAATCAACTAGTACATCAGCCAGCAATGGTGTTTCAGATCCTAATTTAGAAAATAAAAGAACTAAAGTTACCGTAACAAATTCAAGTGTTGAAAATGTATTAATAATGTTTTTTTATTTTTTTTTTTTTATAAAACTTTATAAAATACTAATAATAAATTTTTATTTATTTATTTATAGGCTAGAGGTACATATTATAGTGGTGCATATACATCAATTGGATTTGATAATAGTTTTAGTTTAGAAAAATTTAAAGAAAACTTTAAGATTAATATATTATCAGAAAAACCATATGAATTGGTATTTGAAATGATGGGTGTTGATGCACCAATTGCAAATGCAATTAGACGTATTTTAATTTCAGAAGTACCAACTATGGCAATCGAAAAAGTATACATTATAAATAATACATCAATTCTTCAAGACGAAGTATTAGCACATAGATTAGGTTTAATCCCAATCAAAGTGGATCCAAGAAAATTCAATTTTCATTTACCAAATAAAGAATATACAGCAGAAGATACATTAATCTTTAAATTAAAAGTTAAATGCGAAAGAGATGCAAATGGTAAAATAATAAATGATACAGTATTATCAAAACATTTAGAGTGGGTTCCACACGACGATCAAATTGCAATGTTCCCAAATGAAGAAGATCACCCACGTCCAGTCGAAGATGATATTCCAATCATGAGACTTAGACCAGGCCAAGTTATCGATGTTCAATTATATTGTGAAAAAAATATTGGTAGAGAACACATTAAATGGTCACCAGTTTGCACAGCATCCTATAGATTGTTACCTGTAATTAGTGTTGATGAATCAATTCAAGGCGAAAGTGCTGAAAAACTTGTAAATACTTGTCCAAAAAAAGTTTTTGATATTGAAGATAGTGGTAGTGTTGTAGCTGCTCGTCCTTTAGATTGTACAATGTGTAGAGAATGTATTAGGGATCCAGAGTTTGAACCAAAAGTTAAACTTTGAACGTATTAGAGATCATTTTATTTGTAAGTATAACATTATTGTTATTAAATTTATTTTATACATTCATTTTCTAACCCTTTTCTTTTTTTGTTTATATTTTATTAATAGTCTCAATCGAATCAACAGGCGCATTAACATCAAGAGAATTATTCCAAGAAGCTATTAAAATTTTAATTGAAAAATGTAATATCGTTGAAGAAAGTATCAACAAGTTAGTAAATTAATAATAATAAATAAATAATGCCATTTTTTTAAACCAACCAACCCATCAAAAAGAAAAACAGTTTTTTAAAGATACAATAAAAAACTATTAAAAAAAAAAATAAAATAAAATAAAATTATAATTATAATTTAAAAAAAAAAAAAAACAATATAATATCTATCTTACATTTTTAATTATTAAAATTTATTTGGTAATAATTTTTTTTTTTTTTTTAAAGTTTAGCTAAAGCTTTCGAAGAATAACCAATGGATTTCTCAAGTAAATTAGCAGATACATTTTTATACATTTCTAATTTAAGACATTGGTAGGTAACTCTGTCTTTACCTTTACCATGAACTAATTCGGCTAATTTAACTGATTCTTCTAAAATATCTTGGCATGCTTTATCAACAATTTGTAATTTTGCAGCTTCTTTGCCACCATAACGTTTGCCAGTTAATACTACATCTCTGTAGGTAATTGCATTTGTAATTTTATTTCTAAATAAATAAATAAATAAATTAGTTTATTGATGCACTAATAACCTATAGATATTATTAAAACTTACTGAAGAATTGCATTCATACCTGGTGTTAATGGAATATGAATGTTAATCTCTGGTAAACAAAAGAAACCTCTATCATCTTTCATAATTCTCCAGTCATGGGCCATTGAAAACATAGCACCACCTGCAAATGAGTGACCATTAATACAACATATGGTTGGAATTGGGAAAACTAACAATCTTTGAAGTAATGCATGGAAATCGTATACAAATGTTTCAAATTTTTCTTTTCCTAATGGTAATACCCAGTCTAAATCTAAACCTAAAGAGTAGAATTTTGGTGATGTTGATGTTGAAATTAAACATGATGCATTTTCGCAGCTAATTAATAAGGATAAAGATTTATTAATTTTAGTTTTGTGTTTTAGAGAGGTGGTTTTTTATTTTAATTAAAATTTTGAATGAATTACCTTTCAACATAGTCCAAAGATTGATGGAAATATTTGATATTGTTATCATTAAATCTATTTTCATTATCATTGAGTGTTAAAAGGAAAATATCTTCATTTGATTCTAATTGTTCTACATAAAAATTACCAAATTCTTTTTTATTTATCCACTTCATTGTTTTTATTATTTTATTATTATATTATTATTATTTTTATTGCTAATACTATGTTTTATAAAAAATATATTTTGACCAAACAATTTTAATTGAAATAAAAAAAATAAAAAATAAAAAAAAAAAGAAATTTAATTTTTTTAATTTTAATTTTTTTTTTTTTTTAATTTTTTAAAATTTTTTTTATTCTGTCATAAATGAACAAATACAGAAAATTAATTTCAAATTATTACTCTCTGATTTTTTTATTATAATTTTTTTTTTTTTTTTTTTTTTTTTTATAGATTTAAAAAGGTTATAGCCATTTTGATATTATTTGTTTGTTATTTGTTTTTTTGTTGATTGATATGTATTATTTGTTATTTTTTTTGTTTGGTATTATAATTTTAAACGTTTTTAGTCAAATTCGATAACTTTTTTAGTTTTTTTTTTTTAAAAAAAATAAATTATTTTTTTTAATTTTTTTTTACTTTTTTTAATTTTTTTTTATTTTTAAAATTAATTTTTATTTTTGTATATTCGGTTGTGTTTCTATTTTAATGATGTCTATATATAAATAACGTATATCATAATAATAATAACATAAATATTAAATAATATATTGTTTTTTATTTTATTTTTTTATTTTTTTATTTTTTTTTTTCATCAATTTTTTTTTTTTTAATTTTATAATATTCAAAAAACTATTTTTTACATTTTTGTGGGGTTAAAAAAAAAAAAAACTTCATATAACACACACCAACAACACACCAATACACCAACACACCAATAATAAATACAAAAAAAGATAAAATTATATATTATTCAATTTTTTATATTTAATTAATTATAATATTTATTTATTGCAAAAAAAAAAAATCTCATTATTTTTTTTTTTTTAAAAAAATATTATGGCCTCTAGACAACCTATCGGGGCTTTGGCTATTTGGAAGAATGCTTTAACGGTAGCAATAACATGTGGTGTATTTGCGTTATTGCTTTCGCTTTTGGTTATTCTCGTTAGAATTTTAAGAAAGAACAAACCTCAATCGGTCAATTTATCACTTCGTGCAAAATTAGAAATATATTTAGCATACACTCATATTGGAGAAATGATCGAGTTCATTCAAGTAGCTTTCAGTATTCTTTCAGTAATATTATTTATATATGGTACCTATCTAGATGCAAATAAACCACCAACCTTTTACTTAATTTTAGAGCTGATTTTGGTTTTCTTTTTTATTTTGCATTGGGCTTTGGACTTTTTCGTTTCAAAAGATAAGTAAGTAATGGCTTATAGACAACGACAATTATAACTAAAGATATACTAATATCTTTTTTTTTATAGATTACGATATTTATTTTCATTTTTTTCAATTATCGATATGATTTGTGTAACACCAATTTTAATCGACCTTCAAAGTGGTGATCTATCAAATCTTTTAAATACTTTTCAATTCCTTAGAGTATTAAGAGTTATAAGAATCTTAAGACTTCAAAGAGTACTCCATTATTTTAAAAATGGTAAATTTTTTTAAAAGATCTATAAATTTCAATATAGTATATTAACTTTAAATTTAATTATAGAGGTTACAAAATATACATTCAAGGCTTTTATTGTGGTATTTTCATTTATTTTGGTTTTAGCAGGATTTTATATGAATATCGAAATCAATCCAAATGGAAATCCATTACAATTTCACGAAACCATTTATTTTTTAGTTATTACATTAGCAACTGTAGGTTATGGTGATATTTATCCATCGACTGCATTGGGTCAAATCACAATTACTTTAGCGTTAACAATTGGTGCTGGCGTTTTAATTCCTTATCATATTTCCAAATTAATGGAAAAATTACAACAAGATTCGCGTATGTATTTAAAAATCATATATATTGTTGGTAATTAAATTTATTCTAATTTATTTTTTATATAGCATTTTTAAGAAATTTATCATCATCAAGTATTACAGGTCATGTTATTTTATGTGGTGATATTTCAATTTCTCATTTATTGGATTTTTTAGCAGAGTTTTACCATGAAAGATATGGTAAACTTAAAAAAGAGTTGGTTATTTTATCGCCAAAAGCACCCGACGATAGAATCAAATCACTATTACTCCATCCATTTTATAAGAATAGATTAATTTATTTACAGGGATCACCATTATTTGAACAAGATCTTCAACGTACAAAGCTTTCTAAAGCTGAGGCAGTTTTTGTTTCATTACCATCTGCTTGGGACTCATCCGATACTGATAGTATTTTATGCTCATATGCCGTAAAAAGTCAAATTAAAAGTTTAAAAGTTTTTTCACATTTGGTTTCATCAAAAAATAGAGTAAATATTATTTAAATTTCAAAAGTTTAATTATTTTAAAATTTTAATATTAAATTTTTTATTTTTTATAGAACAAATCTCCATTTTTAAAAGGTTCAATTTATATTGAGGAATTTAGATGCGCTATGCTTGCTCAATCAGTTGTATGTCCTGGATACAATATTTTATTTTCAAATTTATTCACTTCAAGAACCATACCAAATATGGTTTCAGAAAAATGGCTTTCAGAATATTTTTATGGCAGTAACCACTCTATTTATATTGTTAAAACTCCAGAGTTTTTAGTTGGTGAAAATTTAACAGATGTAATTTTAGTAAGTAATTGATTTTTATATTAATTATAAAATATTTTTAAATAATTATATTAACTGTTTTTATTTTTTATATTTTTTTAGTCAATGTATTTTGGTAATGGTACATTATTAATTGGTTTAATGTTACCTCAAACTGCAGTTGTAAATAATATATCAGGACCAGCATTAACATCCAGTGGCACATATATCCCACATTTAAAACAACAAAAAAAAGTAATTTTACCGCCAAAATTTGTATTAAATCCATGCAAAAATACAACTCTTACAGAAGATATGCAATTGGTTTTAATTTCACACACAGTAAATTTATCAACTAAACAAGTTAGTGCAGAGCATACAATTAATTTTGTTGATCCAAATCGTAAACGTTATCAAGAGTTTAATGAAGATAACCCTATTTCAACTTTCTTAAAGAATGTTAATCAGTTTTTCAGTCGTTTAGCCGTACCAGATTTAGAATTACTCATTAACGAAGTAGATACGCCAAAGAAAGAGACTAAGGACCAGGTTATGAATGAATCATTAAAAACATTTATTGGTTCAAATAAATCTAAAAATTCAAATAACAGCTCAATGAACTTTAGAAAGGATAGTATGCAAGGTATCAATATTTCAAATCCACACAGCATCGATGAAAATCTTGATCAATCTATTATGGAGTTCAATAAAGATCACGAAGAAGACGAATATACCTCAAAAGAATTAATTAAAGCTCTTTGTCTTTCAGAATACAATGGCGATTGGATTGCATTACTTAGTGACATTAGTTCTCAAAAAACAACAAACCCAAAGACCGAAGAGATCTTAGAAAGAATTAGATTAATCATCGATAAACACTCCTTAATGACATTTACTACCCATGGTAAATTTGGTAAAGGCAAAAAAGGTTCCTCAATGAAAGGCCATATGCTAATTATTTGCAAGAGCTTAAAAGGTTTGGATCTTTTCCTCCATCATCTTCGTCTCCCATACATTTCATCTATCAAAACAAATACTATGGCTAAATCTGGTGTTCAACCAATTGTAGTTCTTTATCAGGATGAACCAGATGAATCTTGGTTTGCAACAGTTAAAACATTGCCATTAATTGCTTTTATTAAAGGTTCCTCATCAAACAATGTAGATCTAGATAAATGTGGTGCCAAACATGCAGAAACAATCATCATTACCTCTGATCCATATAACAGCTCAAAAGAACAAGGTAATTTAGAAGACTCATTTACCTTAATGTCTTATGTCGATGTTATCAAGATTAATAAAAATGCTAAAATCACAGTGGAACTTGTTCATGAGCCAAATATTCGTTTCTTAGAAGATAAAAAGATTCAAGCTTGTGGTAGTAATAAACGTTTCCATAATTATTTACAAGCTAATCAAGAAAAAACCTTTTTAAAACCAGAATTTTTTTCAGCTCCACACTATGCCTCTGGTAATGTCTCTACTTTTACAGTTTTAGATTCTCTCCTTTGCCAATCACACAATAATGAATACATCAGAGATGTTGCCCATGAGTTGGCATTTGGTGTAAATGGCTTATCCCAGTCATATCCAACATTTGGTTTATCTTCTTTTGTAAACAACGATTCAAAATGTTTCAGTCGTTTAGTTGGTGTCCCAGCAATTTTTCATGGAAAAACATATGGTGAACTTTTAAAATATTTCCTTCAGCAAAAAAATCTTTTAGTTTTAGGTTTATATCGTTCAAAAGAACCAATGAATTCACCTGCTCCTTATGTTTTTACTTGCCCCCATCCAACAACCAAACTATATGAAACCGATCAAGCTTATGTACTATCAAACTCTCCAATTTAAAATTAATAACAAATTTATTAAATAATATTCAACACTGTTATTAATAACAAACAAATTATAGTTTTTATTTTAAATTATTATCTATTTTTAAAATTTAATTTATAGATTTTAATACAAAAATAAAAAATAAATAAAAATATAATATTAAATTTAATATTATATAAAGAAAGATGTATATAAAATTTATATATATTTTCAAAAAAAAATCTTTATTATTTTTTATTATCCCATATTATCTTTATTTTTATTATTAGTGTTTTTATTGTGGTTGTACTAATAATATTATTTTTTTCTTGAAAGTTAAAGTTTGTCTTTTTTCTTCCAATTCATCTTTCTTTTCATGAGGTTTCAGTCCAAATAAGCAGTTTTTTGGGAACAGTTCTTTTAATTCTCTTGATACACTAACTATTTTCTCTACAGGATTACCATTTAAATCTTTTAAATTGATGATTGAGTTTTTAACACTTTCTACTTTTGTAGAGATGAATGTTTTGGTTGCCCCTCTATTGTTTCGAAAAATACCTGAATGTTCCACCTTGATAATTAAATCACCAATGTAAATATTGAATTTCTTTATTTTTTGTTCTGCATGTCGAGCTGCTAAAAGATTATTTAGTATTGCTTTATGACTTTCATCAAAATCTGAAAATGAGTTGTAATAATTTGAAAGTGCATACATTAAATAGTTAGATTTTATATTATTAAGTGAGTTGTCAATTTCATCTAAAATAGAATGGACATGTTTTAGTACACTTCTAATTTTTTCTTTACATTCATCACCAGCAATAATTTTATAGTTGCTTTTGGAATTTATATGAGTTGTACTGCTTCTGTTATTTTCCTCATCTTGATAGGCTTCATCTGAATAATCATCAGTCTGAGTATTTTGTCTTTTGTTTGGTTCTTGTGTTTCCTCTTCATTTTCTTCGAAAGTTCTCTTTTTCGTTTTATATAAACCATACTTTAATATAACCCTGTAGCCTTCAGTTATTGGTTTAAATTGATAAAGAGAGTCTTTTGATAATGCAATGAACTTGATATCTGCAGGATTATGATTCTCCAATGGAATTAGTTTTTTTACCCATTCATTTCCTTGTTTTATTGATTCGATAATTATTTCGCCACCTTTATGATCACATGGTAAAACTAAATATAAAATACTAAATAAGTCTGGTATATCATTTGAAATTATTTGAGGTGATTGAAAGTTATCCTTTGTGCTTATTATCATTGATTCTACCTGTGCTCTGACTGAAGTTTGGTTATAAATTCCAAGTTCTTTTTTTATTCTATTTACAATGGTTTCTATTTTTAATTTCCAAGTTTTAATGTTTTTCCCTACTTCAAAATGTTTTGAATCTATTTTCCATTCTGAAAAAATAAAAATTAAAAGATAATTACTTAAATTAATAAATATAATAAATATAGTTTAATTTGTTAAATATTTACCATTTTTATTTATTGGTTCTCCATAAATTTGAATTATATTTTTTAATTGTGATTCGATACAAGGAAATGATAAATATTGATTTTTATTATTTTCAATAGTTTCATCTTTATAAAAAAATGATTGGATGAAACTGATATCTTTTCCTTGGTACTCTTCATTTTTTAAAAAATAAACTGAAAACTGTGATTCAAATAAACCTTTACAATAAAATGAATTTATATCCACAAAATCTTGAACATTCTGATCTTCTTTTAATAGATTTTCTAGTTTACTGTGGTCTGTGTACTTAATTGGATACATTGTCATTAATGTATAAATAAATGTTGAGTTTTAATAAAAATAAATAAAATTTGAAAAAAAAAATTAAAAAAATTATAAATAAAATAAATTTACAAAAAAATTAAATTAATTTTTAAAAAAAAAAATATTTAAATTCGGATTTATTGAGTGGTATAACCCTTTTAGGATCTTAATTTTTTGTTTTGTTGTTCTTCATCCTCATCATCACTTTCACTTGCATGTCTTTTCTTTAAATTTTTTTTATTATTATTTCCATTATTATTGTTTTCGTTATTATTATTTTCATTATTATTATTTACATCTTTTTGGTTGTTAATTTGTTCTTCAAATGATTGCTTTGCCTCTGGTACTAACTGACTATTATTATTATTATTGCTATTTAATTCCATTGGTTGTTGATCATCATTTACAAGTGGTTTTGGATATACTAAACCATCTTTGTCATAAAATTCTTTTGTTTTTTCTTCGTGATTTGTGAACCAAGGATGATTGAGGGTTTGTTCAATTGTGAAACGTTTTTCGGCATCAACTTTAATTAGATTTTTGAGTAAATTTTTGACATCATCAGAGATGTGATCCCAATATGGTGATGGAAATGAAAAACCACCATTCTTAATCTTATCGAAGAAATCCTTAGCTTGTGGATCACCAAATGGAGCAAAGCCACATAATAAAATATAGAGAATAACACCAATTGACCAAATATCCACAGATTTGCCATATCCTTCCCTTTCACCTTTGGTAAGAATTTCTGGAGCTACATATTGTGGTGTACCACACATGGTCTTCATATTACCCTCATCCAAAGCACGACTTAAACCAAAATCGCTAATCTTTAAAAGGTAGCTTTCTGATTTTGCCATTAATATATTCTCTGGTTTAAGATCTCTATGAGCAATACCATTGCTGTGGAGGTATGCAACAGCATCACATAGTTGTTTTAATATATATCTACAAGTATCTTCAGAGAATTTCTTTTCTGCTACAATCCTATCAAACAATTCACCACCAGTAACTCTATATAATAATAATTGTTAATAAAAATAAAGATAATGTTTCGATAAAATTAAATAAAAAAACTTACAATTCTAAAATCAAGTATAAATTCTTTGGAGTTGTAAATACTTCTTTAATGGAAATAATATTTTGATGGTGAACTTTGGTTAAAACATTTACCTCATCCATGAGTGAATCCTTTCTCTTACTGGTCATTGACATTTTCTTTTTATCGATAATTTTAACAGCATATTTATCACCTGTTTCTTTTTCAACACCCAATCTTACTGAAGCAAAATTACCTCTATTAAATTAGATTAAAAAAAGATTAGTTTTTTTAATTTTTATTTTTATTTTTATCAACAAACAACTACTTACGTTCCTAAAACATCTCTTAAATTATATTTCTTTTGTGGACCACCTTGTTCGATCTCTCTTTGTTCTTCAAAACAATCTTGATAAATAAACGAAATTTTTTCTGTTCCTTTTCTTGGGATAACTGAAATTTCACAACCACTTTCAATTAAAATTTTTGAACCTTTTCCTATAACTTCATTGTTGATATATGTTCCATTGGTGCTAAAATCGTCCACAAATACTACATTATTTGATACGGTGGGATCTCTATAGATCTTGCAATGTTTTCCACTAACAGTTGGGCTACTAAAAACAAGATCATTGTTTGCACATAAAGATCTACCAATTTGGATTGAGTTTTGTCTAATTTCGACAGATGGATAAGTTGGATTTAATGATACCAACTTACCCCATAAATCACCAGTACCAATTGTTTTAATTTGAGGATTCTCTAATTCTTTTAAATTACCTGTATCATCCTCCATAACACTGCATTCTTTTTCATCTTCGTTGCTATTTCCATTATTGTTATTATTACCATTTGATGCTTCATTATTTTCATTACTATTTTCGCCATTATTATTGTTACTATTATTTCCAGTTGCTGTTGATGGTTGTTCTTGTTGGCTGTTATTTGATGATTCGGTCTCAATAATTGGTGGATTACCTTCTAGACTACTCATTTTTGATGTGGTTGCTTATATTACAAATAATAAAATCTAAATTAAAAAATAAATAAATTAAAAAAAAATATTTAAAAATATAAAAAAAAAAAAAAAATTTCAAAAAATATAAAAAATATAAAAAATAAAAAATAAAAAAAAATGGAAAAAATATAAAAAAAAAAAAAAAAAAATATTTATTTGATTTTTTTCTTTCTTTTTAAGGATTCCTTAAAAAGACGTAAACTGATTTATTTATTATATACAATCATTTTTTTCTTTATAAACACAACAATTATTATTATTATTATAAAATTATCTATTATTTGATACCAAGTTTATCAACTATATAAGTAACAACAATTAACACTTAAGATCATCGACATACCATAGAATATAATTTACAATAAAAAAAAAAATAAACTAAAAGAAAAAACTTATGATATTTAATTAAAAAAAATTAAATATTTAATTTTTTTTTTTTTTTTTTTTTTTTTTTTAATTTTTTTAAATTTAAAATTAAAATTTTTTTATTATAATTTTATTTATATTCAAATATAACTATAAATATTTAAAACAAAACCATATATATTGCTTACACCTACTATTTTTATAAACTACCATGCAAATACTATCAACACTCTATGCAATTTTATTAGTGGTAGTACCATTGTTATTAGGGTGGTTAATAATGTGGAAAATGTATATTTCTAAATATGAATTTGTTAGAGAATTATTAGGATATAAAAAAGAAAACAAAGAAAAACCAAAAAGTAGAAGAGTAACAAATGTAGAGTTGGTAAGCAATCAAAACAAATCCCATTTAAATAAAGGATTTAATTAAAATATAATGAAAATTCATAAAAACTAAAAACTAAAAATAAAAAACAAATACTAATTCTTTTTATTTTTTTATTTTATTTTATTTATGCAGTTACACGACCATCATCAATAAATAAAATGTAAATATAAATATAAAATATATTAAAAAATAAAAATAAAATAAAATATTTACTTATTTTACTATCGCTGTCAATAAAAATTGTAAATTTAGATTAAAAGAAACTATAAAACTAAATTATTAAATAAACTTATTATCGATTTATTTATTTAATTATAAATAAAACACATTTCCATTATGTATAATTTTTAAGGTTTTTTTTTTATTTTATATTATTTTATTTATTTATTTTTTTTTTGTTAATCTTTGTTTCTTTTCTTTTTTGTTAATTAACATTCTCTTATTCTTTTTAGCTCTCTTATTATCAATTCTTTGTTGTTCTTGATCAGTCTTTTGTGATGATAAACCGACTCTTCTTAATTGTTCGATACGTTTAGTGTTTTTACCAGACGATTTTTGTTTATTTTGATCTTTATTGAATAATTCACCATCTAAAAAGTATTTTATAAAATAAATAAAAAGTTAATAAATTATTTAATAAAATGAATATATATATAATTATTATTATTATTTAAAACTTACAATCAGTATTATCTTCTTCATCATCATCAGAATCAGCACCACTTTCGGCTTTCTTTTTAGCTCTTTCTTCTTTTAATTCATTTTCATATTCTTCTTTGAATTGTTTTTGTCTTCTTTGTTTTCTTGATAAACCATAATATGGATCTTTCTTTTGTTTTAATTTTTTAATTGATGGGACATTTGAAGCACCAGTGGTATCGATAGCATTAGATTTAAGTGGTTTAAGACCAATACCATTTTCGAGTTTCCATAATTCTTTTGATTTTTCTTCTTCGGATTTAGTCTTATACCAAACTCTTTCAGTTTCAGTATTTTCTTCAAATGGTTTGCTAATAACTTTTTCAGCCTTATCTAAAGCCTTTTCAGCTTTTCTTAAATCAGCTTCTTTTAATTCATCTCTAACGATTTCTCTAATATCTTCAGTCAACTCTTCAATTCTATTTCTCCAAAAGTTTACATTATCTTGTGATACTGATCTTGATTTTGCCTTATTTCTAGCTTTGGTTACAATTTCTTTTAATATTTTACGGTCATTTTCGGTGATGAATGAGCATGATTTACCTTCCATACCGGCACGAGCAGTACGACCTACTCTGTGAATATATTGAGCTAATGTATTTGGCATATTATAATTGATAACGGTTTTAACACCAATAATATCGAGACCTCTAGATGCGACATCTGATGCTAATAAATAATTTACTTTACCATCTCTAAATTGTTGAAGTGAATCGAAACGTTGCTCTTGTGAAAGATTACCGTGAAGTTCAGCAGCTTTAAGATCGCTAAGACCGAAAATAATACAGAGACGATGAACTTCTTTTTTACTACGACAGAAAATAATGGTGCCACCTGTGTTGAATACACGAGTGCATAATGACATAAGAATAGCTGGACGATCGCTGAGATGTTGTGATTTAATTTTAACAAATTCTTGATCTAATGTTGAGGCGACTTGGAAGAGTGCATCGACTTGAACACGAATTGGTTGTTGAAGTGAAAGTTTAGCTAAAGTTTTAACTTCGTCATTGAGTGTAGCTGAAAATAACATGGTTTGACGAGATGTTGGGCATGAATCTACAATTTTATTGATTTCATCTTTGAAACCCATATCTAATAAACGATCTGCTTCATCAAGAATTAAAATTTCTAAATCTTCTAAACCAATACCGTGTGCATTTAAGAGATGGTCAATAAGACGACCTGGGGTTGCAATGACTACATCTGGTCTTTTTCTTAATTCGACTTCTTGTGCTTTATTTGAAAGACCACCAACAATTAAACATGATGTAATATTTGAAAATTGTGCAAGATTCTCTAAAACCGATTGACATTGTAGTGCCAACTCACGAGTTGGTAAAAGTACTAAAACTCTAATTGCACGATATTCACTGTCTCTAAATAATAAACGTTCGAGAATTGGTAAAAGAAATGCTGCAGTTTTACCTGAACCTGTACTTGCACTAGCTAAAATATCCTTACCGTTTAATGCTAATGGAATAGTTTTAGCTTGAATAGGTGTTGGTTGTGAAAATCCAAGTTTTTGAACTGCTTTTAATAATGGTCTTGATAAATGTAATTCTTCGAATGTTGGTAATTCTTCTTCAACAATCTTTTTCATTTTTTTATTGGATTGTAATAATTTAATTTTATCGTTTTGTACTGGTTTATTGTTAACTGGTTTAATTTCTTCTACCTCATCTTCACCACTTTCATCACTATTATTTCCTTCTTCCTCTTCTTGTTCTTCTTCTTCTTCTTCTACTTCCTCTACTTCTTCTTCTTCTTCTTCCTCTTCTTCTTCTTCAACCTTTTTATTTGGGTTAACTTTATTTGATTCATCTGTCCTTAATCTTTTTCTTTGTTCAATTTTTTCTTGTAATGATGTTTGACCTTCTGATTTTCTATGGGTTTGTTGTTTCATTTTATCAATTGTTGGTTGGAAATCCCATGGTAATTGTGGTTTTTCTGATTCTTCAAACTTTAATTTTTTTAATTAGTAAATTATTATGCTATATTTATACTATAGTATAATTCCTATTTATATGATTGTTATTGATGTAAAATGTGTTTATATTACTTACAACAAAATCTTCTTTTAAATCCAATTCGCCATCATCATTATCGCTTTCGTCTTCATCTTGATAATCCCCATCATCAAAATCAATTGTCATAACAAAATCATTTTCTGGGGTCTTTCTTTTTAATGTTGATGCATTATTATTTTTATCTACTAACATTTTATTAAAATATAAATGAATGTATTAAAAAAAAAATAAATAAAAGAAATAATAATTAAAAAAAAAAAAAAAAGAAAAAATTATTTTAAAAAAACGAAAAAAATTATTTTAAAAAAAAAAATTAAAAAAAAAATTAAAAAAAAAAGTTATGAAAAAACGAATATTTATTGATCGGGATAATTTATTTATTTATTTGTTTATTATTACTATTATTGTTATTGCTATTATTATTATTTGTTAAATTTAATTTTTTATCATAATCACTATTAAATGATTGATATTTTAATTTAATTTCGTTTGAAAAGGGTAATGGCGATGTACTTTCAATTAAGAAAACATCATTTATTAAATTACAAACCAATTTATAAAATTCATCGGTTAAAATTTCGCTGTTAAATTGAAACTCTATAAAATCCATCAATAGTTTAACCATATCGTCAAATGAATGATTTGGTAGTGTTTTAATTACTAATTGTCTATTTTCTGCATGGTCTTTGATTAAGTAACCTATTAAAATAACTAAATAAGATGATGCGATTTTCTCTTGAGTCTTTGTTGTAACCCTAGTTATAATACGTGAGTCATTGGTTCTCCATAGATAAAGTTGTAAAATGGACTCAATGGCACCCTCCATATTATGAAGAATTTCACGGTTCTCTGGATTAATTTCTACAAGATTTACCAATAGAGATATACATAACTGACCAATATCATATTTCTCCGGCACCTCTAGTTTTAGCAATTGAATGATGACCTTGAATGCAAAATTCTCTTTTATTTCGATTGATTCTAAAAATTTAACTTTTCTGGGTGTAAATTTTGAATTACTAATTGACTCCAAATATTCGCTAAATTCTTTATTAACTCCAAATTCATTCTTATTATTAATTGGTGATTTATTTTTATTTGTACTGTTAATTATTTGTGAATTGCTATTATTATTATTATTATTATTATTGCTATCATAATTATTAAAAGATTTTGTAATTTGATTAATTAACTTTGAAGCTTCAAAATTGTCATGCGTTAAATTTAATAAAATATTTAAAATTGATATAATTGCCTCACTTCCGATGAGCTTAATATCCAAACCGGCCAATCTATCATTATTAGCATTGATTGCAACATATAAATATCTTATATAAGTTAAAAACATTGACAATGTATCCTGTGTTACTAATAACACTCTATTGGCTTTAATATCACCGACTAGACACTGATCAATAATTTTCAAAATATACTCGATATTTCCAATTAGCTTTGGTGAGATTGATGATAGATCTAATATAGGATTGAGATAATCTATATACCTTGTAAGTAGTTTAACCATACCATCCATTAAACCAAATTCCTTTAAACGCAATTTCATTGAGTGATTAATATGATTTGATGCTAAATTAGAAAGTGTTGCTAAAGATAATGATGGTGTCGAAACTGAAAATCTTACTGTATCACTGACTAGTGTTTGAAAGTGCGAAAATATACTCGTTTCCAACTCTAGCATCTTTTTTAGCGGTGATACTCCACTTGATGACGGTGATTTAGGTGATTTAGGTGATTTGGGTAATCTTGACGGTGTAGTATAAAACTCTAAAAGATAATTCTCAGGGATTTTAATGGCCTGGGAATATAGAAACTCTATAGTACCTCTTGAGAAATGTTCAATGTTAGTTTGTTCACTTGAGAATGCGAATAATATAAAGCAACTTGCTAAATAAACTGCTTTTATTTCCCTATCTGTTAAATTATTTTCTGAAATATTACTGGTGGTTGCCTCGTTTTTGTTTGATGTCGATGACGACGATAGTGACATTAAACCACTATTTGATTTATGTTTTTTTTTTGTAATGGTCGGTTTTTCACCTTCATCTTCAGTATCTGTACTTGTATCAAAATCTCTATTATTTTTATTTACATTTGTTGTTGTAAGAATTTCACTACTGGCACTACCATCATCAGCTGTTGTTGATAAAAACAATGATAGCAAATCAATATTGGCATTTGTGTTATGTTTCTTTAAAGAGTCCAACGAGCTTGATCTTTTAACTGTGGTTAATGGTGATGGTTTATTTTTTTTATTATTAAAATTTGGAGGGGTATTTGATTTTTTATTTGCTAATGGATTACTATCGTTATTATCGTCTTGTTTAAATAAACACAATGACATTAATGTATCGCAAAGGGGTGTAAATAAACTATGTGATCTTAAAATGAGTGTAAATTCTGAACATTGCTCTGTAACAATTTTTGACAACTGACCTAGTGTTGCTAATATAATTTTTGAATCATTTGATGCTAAAGATTTAATAATTTTTGTGGCCTCTTCGTAATGTAACTCGTTGCTTTCGAAAGATTGTGATAATACTCTACTAGATATTAATGTCTATTGGAAAATGGAATAAAAAACAATGTATAAATATATGATTATAATTATGTAATAAAATAATAGAATATTTACATTTTCGTCATTTTGACTATCATTAAATATATCTTCTTTTGACCTCTTTAATTTTGATCTTGAGCTATGTTTATCCTGTGAAACTTGGGATGAGGATGGTGATGGAGAAGGAGCATCCAAATCAATTGAGAGAGTAGATTTTTTCTTTCTATTAGATGTTGAGGTTTTAACTACTTTTTTAAGCTTTTCCTTTTCCTTTTCCTTCTCTTTTTCCTCTTTTTTGAGATGTGCCAATTCTTTGGAGGTTTTCTTTGGTGGGGGTTTAGGTTTTGAGGTATCTATGGGACCTTCATCAAAATCGAAATTTGATAGCATATCAATATCGTAAACATCTTTTTTACTGCCTAGATCCACACTGGTTTTGCTTTTATTGATTGAATCTAATTTAATGACTTCTTTAACTGGTTCGATTTCTGTTTTATTTCTTTTAAATGGTGATACAACTGTACTATTTGTTGATGACAACGATGATGTATGTGATAATGATGATACCGATGTGGACAATGATGATGATGATGTAGATAGAGTTGATATAGTGGATGTAGAACTAGATAATGAGGTATCGAGTTTTATGTTATTTGTATTTTTTGATAGGTCACTGGTTTTTTTTGTTAAAAATGATATTGGTGTACTATTTGGTGAGTTTGTTGTATTTTTAGTTTGGATTGAAGTGGTTGTGGATGTAGTTGTTGGTGTCGGTTTTGGTGTTGATGTTGATGAAGAAGATGACAAAGATGATTTTAATGTTGTTATTGCAGATGATGAGGCTATTGATGCCTTTCTGAAGAAATCGAATGAACTTTTAACACTTTTTTCGGTAGTATCGGTAATAATAGGTGATTTATCCTCCTCTTTTGTATATGAACTAAAAGTTGGTGTATTTTTAATGGGAGTATTTGATCTTGGTTTTGATGTTATCAATACCCATGGCTGCACAGTATTTTTGGTAGGTGATTTGCTAAATGATTTTTTTTTATTCCAAAATGAGTTTTTGTTATCCTCTTCGCTGCTATCACTATTATTATTGTTGTTGTTATTACTACTACTATTACTAAAAAGGCTCATTGTTTCATTTGCTTTTTTTTTTTTTTTTTTTAGATTTAAATAATAATAAATAATCTTTAAAAAAATGAAATGAAAGAAATTAATTTAAAAATTTTTTTTAAAAAATTTAAAAAAAATTTAAAAAATTTAAAAATTATAATAATATACAAATTTAGTTTTATTTTATTTGTTTATTTTAAAAAAATAAAAAAGGAAATCATATGACCTTTTTAATTATTGATTAATATCTATATATTTCTTTCGATGACTTCTGGATTAAATTTAATTAAAATAACTGTTTTTGGGAATTTTTTGCCCTCGACTGTTACATTATGCGCTGTGACTCTTGCTGGCTAAAAATAATAATATAAAAATAAAAATAAATGTTAATAAGATTTATTAATTGAAACCAATTTGATATTTTGCTAGCCTATAAAATAATTGAGATATTTACAAATTCTGCACTACATAAAATACCCTCTATAATTCCTGCTACAAATGCTGCACAATTTAAACTACCTAAATGTTTTGGAAGTGAAATGAATTTATTTACAACCATATTATTATCTGAAATCATGTATTCATCTTCTGCCTCTGTACTCTTTTCTAACGAATCTGCTGTTTTACCAAATAATGATTTCCAAACTGTTGTATGTATAAATGATAAAATGCCTAATAATTTAGTTTCTCTTTTTGAATTTTTTTCTCTAACACATAATAATTCTAATAATCTTGGACCAATTGAATAACCCATATCTGATAATCTATTAATTATTAATTTTAAACATTAATACCAATTACTATTATTTTTATATTATTTAGTTGTTGCTACAAGTATTATTATTATTATTATTATATATTGTATTATTGTAATTTAAAAGTATTGTATAATAAACTCTATTACTTTTTTTCTAATTCGTGACCTGCTTTGATTCTATCTTGGCAATATTGGATCATTTCGGAGAATAAAAAGGCAAATGAACTGATGTTGACTTCTGCCTTACCCTTTGATACCGGTCTATCAACAATATTTGTTTGTGGTCTATTCATTTTATTATTATTATTATTATTATTATTATTATTATTATTATTATTATTAAATATTCAATATTCAATCAACAATAATTTCAAAAAAAATTAAAAAAAAAAAAAATTAAAAAAAAAATAAAAAATTAAAAAAAAAAAAAAAAAACAATAATAATAAAATTTTTATTTAAAAAAATAAATAAATAAAATCAAAGATTACTTTTATTAATAAAAACCATTTAGATAAATAATAATAACCTTTATTTATTTTTAATTTTTTTTTGAATTATCCATTATTTATATTCTTGAAGATACAAAATTGATAAATAATAAAATAAAACATTAAACAAATGTTAAAAAAAACAAGTTTTGTTTTCAAAGATTCAAAACTTAACCCCCCCTAAATTTTAATAACTAAATCAAAATACATATGTTGATAACTGAATTATATATATTATTTTTTTTAATTTTTTTTTTTTTTTAATTTTTTTTTTTTTTTTAATTTTTTTTGAAATTATTTTTTAATTTTTTTCAAAATTTTTTTAAAATTTTTCTTTATTTTCAATTGTATATATTTTTTTTTTTAAAAATATAAAAATAAATAAATAAATTCTTATTATTTTTTTTATATTTAGTTTTTAATCTATTTTTATTAATATACATATAATTTTTTTTTAAAAAAAGAGTTAGTCTAAAGGTAGTTTATCAAATATTTTACAAAACCAAATTAAATAATGGCAAAATAATATAACAATAATATAACAATAAAATGTTTAATAATTATAACAGTTAAATTATATCCATATATAATATCAGTTATTTTTTTATATATTATAATATAGTTATATAGTTATACATATTCCCAATTATATTTTAAAAAAAAAAAATAAAAACTTTCAAAATAACTTACAAAAAATTTTATTCTCCCAAAAAAAATAAAAATAATTATTATAATAATAATAAACATCAAATAATAAAATCAGGCTTTTTTATTTATAAAAAATCAATCATCAAAACATGTCATCCCGTCGTGTTATTGTCAATTCAGCCAGTTCCGGTTCATTAAATGACAGATTCACCCAAATGAAAAAAGTTGGTTTAAGTCCACAAAAGAGAGGTGGTGGTCGTGGTGGTGGTAGCAGCGGTAACACTACCGTAACCATTAACAGCGGTGGTCGTAGCAGCGGTGGCCAAGTCTCACACCGTGGTGGTCGTGGCGGTTTCTCAAGAGGTGGCGGTCGTGGTGGTTTCTCCAGAGGCGGCGGTCGTGGTGGTTCTGCTAGAGGCGGTGCTCGTGGTGGTCTTTCAAGAGGTGGTCGTGGCGGTAGTCGTGGTGGTCGTGGTGGTAAATTCAAGAGAGAAAAAACCCCAACCAAAGAAGAATTAGACGAAGAATTAGATAAAATCTCAAAAGATAACCAAATGAAAGATTAAATTTTTGTACCGCTATTTCATATCCTTTTTAATCTATATACCACCCACTTTTTAAAAATAATATTTATTTAATATTATTAAATGTACAAAAAAAAAAAACAAAAAAAAAGTTATATAAAAAAAAACAAAAAAAAATATTAAAAAGAAAAAAAGAATCAAAAATAAAATATACATATATATTTATTTTAATATTTATTTTTTAAATTTAAAAAACCACTAATCATTCTGACTTTTAATATTTATTTATCAATTATCTTTATTTTTTTTATTTTTATTTATTTTTTTATTCTTTATTCTTTATTTTTTTGTTTAAGTTTATATCTATATCGCACAAGATATTAAGTTATAATTTCATTTCATTAGTTCTTAAATAAAATTAAATAGTTTTAAAAAAAATTAATAGTTTTCGGTTATAGTTAGTTTTTTAAAAAAAAAAAAAATTTCTTTTTTTTTTTTTAAAATTTTTTAAATTTTTTTATGATTTTCTTTTTTTTTTTTTTCATATTCAAAATTGTTTATTTAAAATAGAGTTATTTGTTTTTTTGTTATTTAATTATTGTTATTTTTAATTATCGTAATAAAAATTTAGTAAAATTACTCAATCATAAAAAAAATAATATAACATTACAAAATAATAATAATAATTAAGTTTTTTTATTATAAATTATTACCTCAAAGTTTAATACATTATAATATACAACCAATAAAACTACCTTAAAAAAAAAAGCTCATCAATCGAACAATCAATATATATAAAAATGTTTTCAACCTGTAGATTTCTTTTAAATAGAGTTGGTCAAACCACCAATCCATCAACTAGAATCAACCCATTTTTTTTACAACCACAACAACAACCAAAACAATTAATAAATAAAACCAATGTTTTCTCAAGCATCAATAGAAAATCATTTGACGAAGAAGATATTGTTATTATAGAGGATAATATTGAAATCACTATAGCACCACCATCACCACTCGAAGTTGACCCATTAATTTTTTCACTTATTAGCCCATTCCAAAATATAGATATTAATGAAGATTTAGAAAATATAGGTAATTATTATCAATTAATAAAATAAATAATAATAACAATAATGATAATAATAATAATAATAATAATAATGAAAACAAAAAACTATTGTTATATATTCAAACTCACATTTATGGATATTATAATTAACATTTTATTTTAATCATTAGATGAAGATGTTTATGAATGTGCCACTAAAAGAACATATCAACCATCAGTTCTCATTAGAAAGAGAAGACATGGTTTCTTAAAAAGAATGTCAACTAGACAAGGTCGTAGAGTTATTGCAACCAGAGTTGCTCAAGGTCGTAAAAGAAATTCAGCTTAAATTAATAATATATAAATTTTTTTAAAATAAACAATAAAAAAAAACGAAAAAAAAAAAAAAAAAACTATAAAATATAACACCAATTAATCTGCAAACTTTTTTTGTTTAATAAATTATCTTTTTTTAAACCATTTTCTTTTTTTTTTTTTTACTTTTATCCACACATTTTTTTTTTTAAAATCACACACATTTTTTTTGGTTTTATAAATAAATTTTGTGGTATTTTATTTTTGTAAAGCAATATTTTTTTTAGAAATTGATAATTATTTATCTTCTTTAAAACAAGCAAAATATAATTTCGTTTTTTTTTTCAGCGCAAAAACTTTTAAAATTTTTTTTTGCAAATATCTCATTATTAAACAAAGAAATAAAAATTTAAAAGAGAAAATAGAGTTTATTTTTAGTATTTAAATTTTTTATATTATAATTCATAATATATTTTAGTTTTATTATAGTTTTTTTTAAATTTTAATTAAGGGGTATATGTACATTGTGATGTATTAAAATTAATTAATACAATATATATTTTATCGATTTTTTTTTAAAGCCATTTGCCAATTAAAGCCATACAGCCGGCACCAATCCATACAGCAGAGAACAAACCCATCTTTCTTAAGAAACTATATTTTTTACCATTACATAAATTCTTCATATCTTCTGGGAAATCTTTGAGTAATAATGATAAACCAATATATAAGAGAATACCAGCGCAGACAGCATCGAAAACACCTTGAACGAAAAGGAAGTCACTGCCGTTAACATTGAGTGATTCAACAACACCAATACCAATGGCAATACCTAAAGGAGCTGAGACAGAGAAGATTGTAGTTAAAAGAGCCTCGTGCCAGTGTGATTTTAATTTGGCATCTGCAATTCTTGAACCTAATGCAACACCTTCAAAAAATTGATGGAATGAAAGGGCAACTAATAAAGCTTTAAGGGTTTCATCTTCAGCGACACCAACAGTAAGACCAATGAAAACACTGTGTACAGTAATACCAAATTCTAAAAGATAGGCTTCAATGGTTTTTAAAGCAGCTGGATCCATTAACATTGTGGAGTGAACGTGACCACCATGACAATCTGTTGATTTGTTTTGATCTTTTTCGTATTCGCCGCCTGGAGTTTGTTGACTTTCAACATCCTTAAGTGAATGATCAAGTGAATGACCATGCTTCTTTTGCTCTTTATAAGTTAAATATTCTAAGAAACAGAAATCGATGAATTGCATAGCAATCATAGCTAACATACAGAATAAATAAGCATAGGCTTCATAACCTTCAACAAATTCTTCTGGTAAGCATTCTGATGATAAAGATTCTACAGCTGGTAATAACATGTGAATTAATGAGCATGCAATAACAACACCAATACCAGCATCTTTACCTAAAATTAAAACATATCTTGGAATATGTAATGCTTTGACATGAGCTGATAAAATTGGGATTAAAGTACCTAAAGCTGAACATGCTAAAATAATAAAAACTGCACCAATATGCAATCCTTTATCATATTCGTGTACATGCCCTGCTTCGCAAGTACCATCACCACCGTGATCATGTTGGGCCATAGAGCACGATATTATAAGAAATAATAAAAATAAACAAAATTTAATGTTCATTTTTAATTTTTGTTTTATTATATATATATAAATTATAAATAAATATGATTGATTTTATTATTATTTTTATTATTGATTTTAACTATTCTAATTTATTAAAATATTTAACAAAATTAAACTTAGTTTTTTAAATAAAATTTAAATTTTAAAACAATATTTTTTTTTAAACAGTTATAACAACACACACAGTTATTATTTATTTATTTATTTATTTGTTTTAAATATTTTATTTGTTAAAAATAATAAATATAATGATCAAAAAAGTTTTTTGCAATTTATATAAATAAAAATAATAATTATTAACAAAACTTTACGAAGTGTTTTTTCCACTCCGTACACATCGCTAACACTCCGTTTTTTCTACTCAAATTTTTATTTTTTTTTTTTTTATAAAATTTTATTTTTTTTTAAAAATTTTTTTTTTAAGGGTTATCGCATTCCCATATCATTCTGGATAAATTCGCTTACATCATTTTATTGAAATGGTTTATTAGGAATGAACTTAATATCTAGATTGGTGTAGTTTTTTTTTCACTCCGTTTTTCCCACCTTTATAAAAAATATGGAAAAAAAAAAAAAAATCAATCGATTTTTTTATCTTTGTATAAGTTCTTTTTTTTTTTTTTTGTTTTTCAATAATATAAACTTGGGCCAAAGTTTCTATTATTTTTTTTTTCTATTCATATAATTTTAATTTAAAAATAAATATTTAAATATATATATTTTGAAATACATTACAAAGTATAAAGTTTTTCTGGTCTACAACAAAAATTAAATATTTGTAAACCACCACAGATAATTTTTTAAATTTTATTTAAAATATCACTGATATTTTTTGATTCAAAAAAAAAAATCCAAAATATCCCAAAAAATTGGGGGTCCAATACTATTAAAATTTTTTGTTTTTTGGAAAATGCTTTTGAATAACCAGCTCAATTTTTTATTTGATGAGATAAGTTTTGGCTAAAAGAGATATATATATTGCAATACTATTCACCAAATCAATAAATATTTAAAAATGAGTTTTTTTCAATATCAATTATTTAAAACATTAATATTATAATATTAAACAATAAAAAAAAAAAAAAATAAAAAAAAAAACCAAAGTAAAAATTTTCATTGTATCTATTTATATTTATATTTATATAAATTCTATTTTTGAAAAAAAATATGAACTATTTAATAAATTCCAATATTTTTAAAATTAGGACAACAAAAGAAAAGTTTGTTGATTTTTTTTTTTTTTTTTTTTTTTTATAAAACACTTCACATCACTCCGTAAATTTGCGTAAAAAAAACCACTTCTCTAAGCTTTGAACAATATTTCTTTTTATATAATTTTTAATGAAGTGGCTTTTACACTCCGTTATAACAAAAAATGTCAACTTTTTTTGTTTAATCACAATTCTTTTTTCTCCAGTTTTAAAAGTAAATTTAATTATTTATATTATTTATTCATTATTTTAAAAACATAGGTCATAGCAGTAATAGTTTTTTAAATAGTTACAAATAATTATAATTTAAAAAAAAAAAAAATGAATTTTATAAAAACATTTTTATTTTTATTTTTTTTAATTTCATGCACATCAGTCAATGCTCATGGTGGTCATGGAGGTGATGGGACATGCGAAACAGAATCCCCACATGAATATGATAAGGGGTTACATATTGCTGCCGTTTTTATTATTTTAGCTTGCTCTGCTCTAGGTGCTATTATTCCAATTCTTTCAACCAATTTCAAAATGTTCCGTATTCCAGATTATTGTATTGCGGTAGGGAAAGCTGTTGGTCTAGGTGTAGTTTTATCTTGTGCATTAATCCATATGTTGTTACCAGCTGTAGAGTCTTTGTCATCAGATTGTTTACCAGAAGATTTCGTAGAAAGCTATGAGGCTTATGCATATCTTTTTTGCATGCTTGCTATTATTGCAATGCAGTTTATTGACTTTGCCTTCATGGAGTATTTGACATACAGCGAAAATAAAAGAGCAACTCTCAAAGGTGAAACATCACTCAAAGATATTGACGAAAAAAGAGCCGAATGCCATGGTCATGTTCACTCCACAATGTTAATGGATCCAGCTGCTTTAAAAACCATTGAGGCCTATCTTTTAGAATTTGGTATTAGTGTCCACAGTGTAATGGTTGGTCTAACTGTTGGTGTAGCCGATAATCATACCCTTAAAGCTTTATTAGTTGCCCTTTCATTCCATCAATTTTTTGAAGGTGTTGCATTAGGTTCAAGAATTGCAGATGCCAAATTAAAAACACATTGGCATGAAGCTCTTTTAACAACAATCTTCTCTGTATCAGCCCCGATTGGTATCGCAGTTGGTATTTCAGTATACCAGTCACTTAATGTTAACGGCAGTGATTTCCTTTTGGTCAGTGGTGTATTGGAGGCAGTCTGTGCAGGTATTCTATTATATATCGCAGGTTCTCTATTGTTCAAAGATTTCCCAGTAGATTTAGATAAGCATTGCAGTGGTAAAAAATATAGTTTTTTATTAAAGTTGGGTTTGTTTGCAGGTTTTTGGGTTGGAAGTGGTGCTATGGCTATTCTTGGTAAATGGGTATAAAAAAAAAAAAAAAAAAAAATTACGATTAGGTATTAATTAATTTCAATACCATTTTCAATTTGTAAATAAATATAATAAATAAAAATTAATTTTAAAATCATTTATTTTTCTAAAAATAAAGTTTTATTATAAACAATTTGGTTTAGAAAAAACCAAAAAAGCTTTTTTTACCAGTATTTTTGTTATTATTACTATTACTATTATTATTATTATTATTATTATTATCACTATTACTATTACTATTACTATTACTATTACTATTACTATTACTATTATTATTATTATTGCTATTATTTTTATAGCTATTATTAAAGTTTAAAGTTGGATCCAAAGAACCCAAGTTTTTTTTATCATTAATTTCTATAATTTCTTTTTTAACTTCTTCTGGTAGTTGGTCAAAATAATATAGTTTTGAGACATCTTTAATTGATATAAATCTTGAGGCACACCATAACTTTAGTGGTTTAACACTATATAATATTGATACATGATAGATATAGCATAATGATTCGTTATCGATTTGAGATCTAATTTTTGAAGCACATAAATCCTTTGCTCTTAACATTTGATGTTGATCACAAGCAATAATCATTTCAATACATTCGTTAATATCTTCAGGAACTTCCTCGCTATAACAATAGTTTAATAGTGCTGTTAACCCTGTGATTGATGTTTCAAATAATTGAATTTCTTTTTTATCTTTTTCAATAAATGAACCCTAAATAAAAAAATAGATTTGTAAAATAAATAATTAAGAATAAATCATTTAAATAAATAATTAAATCATTACATACACTTAACATAGTTTTGAAATATGAAGAGCCTATATAAGCCAATAATTTATAAGATGAAATTTTACCACTTGAGGCTTCGTCAACTGAGATACAATTGAAAATTACATCTGAATAAATTGAATTAAATTCATTATCTTTTAAAATTTCAAAATCACCCATTAATGACGATTTTGGAAGGTTGGTTAATGATTTTGTTTCCTTAAAATTACACAAATAGGCCAATCTTTGAATATCTAATCCAAATGAAATCTCGCCCAACTCTTCTGTATATTTTGATGCCTATTAAAAAAAGTATTAATATTTTATATATTTGAGGTTGTGATATTATGGTTTTATTATTGCTCTACTTACTAAACTTGTATGATCTGAATAAACATATTTAAATAAAATTGTTAATAGTTCGAATGATGATACAGGAAAATCAATATACATAGTGTCATCGACCATAAATGATTTAATGAGCTTTGTTATTGATAATGGTAGGGATTGTGGGATTGATGGATTTTTTAATTGTCCTCTAATAAGACTATCAAGCTTTTTACAACGAGCTGCTAAAACGATTTTATGAGCAGTAAGGTATTGAGATTGATCACCATTAGCAATGATTTTAACATCGGAAAACATACCAGATTTTAAAATTGAATAAAGTTGTTCACCAAAGCTATGATGTTCAGTAGAGATTGAAACCATTGAGTTATCCCCACCGGCACTAATTTTGAAAACTCCTTGGGTTTTAATTCTTGTAAGATTAATTTCAATATCTAAAACTTCACCAGTTCCGCATTGTGATAAACTGTTATCACCATAGCAATAAACCTCGCCTTGATCTGTGAGAGCTACAACATGCTGTTTACCCAAAGCAATACTGTGGATAGAGTAGGGAACTAATTTTTTTACAAGTAGAGGCTTTTCAGAGAATTCTGATACAGCTGAAATGCTTGGAACACCCAATTGACCATGATTATTTGAACCCCATGAATAAAGAGTGTTGGACTCTGTTAAAACTGTTGTAAAGTTTGTACCGCAGTGAATTTTTCTAACTTTGAAATCTAAATTTACGATCCCGGCTTGATATGATTCCTTCCCGTTAATTGAACGACCTAATCTTCCATCAATATTTGAACCAAATGTATAAACATATCCCTTTTCATCCAATAGAACTGTGTGCCAATTACTGCAGGCAACATCTTTCATTTTAACTAGGTTTTCAATTTTTCTTGGTGTGCTTTGAAGGATAGCACCTTGAAATCCTAATTTTGAATTAATGTTTGAACCCCTAAAACATTAAAAATATTATTAATAAATATTTATATATAATGTATATTGAATATAAAATATCACAATTCTTACCAAGAATAAACATGACCATCAGAGCTAATGGAGAATGATGAATCAGTACCACAAGCAATTGTTGTCATACATTTATCACCAAATGACGAGATTAATGTTGGTTTTGAAATAAATATAGGAGGCTCAGCTAGGTCTGTATAGTCTAAACCCAATCTACCCATAGACGAATTTCCAAATGAATACACACAACCAATATCTAATAAATAAAACTAAATTAATATATTACGTATTTTTATAATTTAAAGAACTATTATAATATTTACCATCGAGTAGTAATGAATGATCTTTTCCACATGCTATTGCCTTAATTCTTTTATCCCCAAGTGAAACTATCATGGTTGGAATTAAAATATCTCTTTTTTTATTTTGCCCGGTTTTACCATAGCTACATAGCCCAGCACTGTAAACATGACCGGTATCAGTTAAGGTTAAGCAAAAGTTTTGACCATAGCTTGTTTGTATAGGTGATGAGAGGGTATCGTTAAATAATAGTGGTGTTTGATTGCTTCTAACTTCAAATGATAACTTTGATGTGAAAATATTTCCCCATTGATAAATATTTGGTTTAATATCAGAAATAGGCATGTTTTTGCAATCCTTTAAAACGTTTGAAACTTTTGTGTGCCCCATCAAAATTGCAATATCCATTGCTGTTAGGCATCTGTGATCTTTAATTGTTGGATCTATATATTTGCTTTCTATTATTGCTTTGGTTACTTCCACATTATTATAAATTGCTGCTACATGTAATGGTGTCTAAATAAATTTTTTATAAATTAAAAGAAATTAATATTTTAAAAAATTAAAATTTAAAAAAAAAAAAAATTTGATTACTTACTTCGCCATAATCATTTGGAATATTAATTAATTCTTTAAATTCATTTCTTGTATCGAACTTCTTGATTAAATTAACTAAAAGGTTCATATCATGGACATAGTTGGCAATTAAAAATGTTAATGGTGTATCGCCGTCAAAGTATTCAGTAGTTGAAAAGAAATCTCTAAAATTATTAATCCCTGTTCTGTATGCATATTGGGTTACTGCAATTGGTGAGCTTGAACTATTGAATGTTATAGTATCATCTTTTTCTTTTTGAGAATAATAATAATTATTTTCCATTTTAATTTGATTTTTTTTTTAAAATATTTCAAATTATAATAATATTTTTATCTATAAATTAATTTATTTTCTTAATATAAAAATATATTTTTTTTTTTTTTATATAAAATTTTGTAAAATATCTGTGATTAAAAAAAAAATTTAGAAAAAAAAAAAAAGAAAAAAAATAGAAAATTTAAATAAAAATAAAATAAATAAAAACCACTATTTTTTTTGTGAAAATATTTAAAATAAAAATAAAGAAATAAATTTATAATATAATTTCGTTGTGCAGTGTGGGTGTGTGATGTAAATAATTATAGTTGTAAAAAAAAAAAAAAAACTTTTTATGAGCTAAAAATAATTAAAAATTAAAAATTAAAAATTAAAATTTTTTTTTTTTTTTTTTTTTTAATTATTTTATTATTTTAATCGTTTTTTTTAGCAATCTTTAAACGAAACCATGAATAATTACAATAATGACAAAAACAGTAATTCAAAAAACTATTATGAAACTTTAAAAGTATCCATTGATGCACCATATGAAGAAATAAAGAAATCTTATCGTAAATTGGTTTTGTTGTATCATCCTGACAAAATATCAAATGATCATTCATCTTTTAACAGCGATAGTGGCAATGTTGCTAATAAGGAATTTAATGAAATTCAAAAATCATGGGAAACCTTAAAAGATGATGCTTTAAGAAAACAATACGATGCACTATTATTGGGTATGTTAAATTTTAAATAATATTTATATGAGATATAACAATTAAAATATTAACTTTTTTTTTTTTTTTAGAACAACAAAGACAAAAATATTCAGTTTCAGATGAAGTTGATTTAGATGATATGGAATATTTAGAAGAGGAGGGCCAATACACCTATCCATGCAGGTGCGGTGATCAATATATTATTACCGAAGATCAGTTGTCAGAGGGAAATGATGTTGTTTGCTGTTCTGGATGTTCTTTATCAATCAAAATAATTTATGAGGTCGAAAATTAATTTATCAATTTACTAAAAAAAGTAAATTTATAAGAAACACTCGCAAAAAAAAAGTATTATTGTGTGGTCTCAATAGTATCATTAGTGGTTATTAAATTGCCGCTTGTGGCCAATTATTATTTTTATAATAAAATAATAATAATAACAATAAAAAAATATAATAATAATTCAAAAATAAAAATTAATGAAAAAAAAAAAAATTTTTACGAAAAACACATTAAAAATTCAACCGCGAAAAAAATAATTGGTATAATTAGACCAAATTAATAAAAAAAAATAAAATAAAGCTGGGTAATCCAAATCTCTTTTAGATCATAGGTATTGAAAAATACTATTTTAATAGTAATTTAATAAATAAATAAAAAAAATAATTAACCAAATTAAATTGTTAATTAATAATTTTTTTTTTTTTTTTTTTTTTTTTTAAAAAAAAATTTTGCATAAAAATTTAATTTTTTTTTTTTATTTTCTTTTTTTTAAAAAACAAAAAAAAAAAAACACCCCCCTTTCGTTAACTTATTTATATTTATAAATAAATCATTATTATTTAAAACTAATATAGTGGTGTTTACTCTTTTTTTAAAAAATCTTAAAAAATTGAAAATAAAAATATTTTAATAATATTTCTTTTTTCATTTGTTATCCAAATTAAATATTTTAAAAAAACAAAAATTTATTTGGCCTTATTTGTTTTCTGGGCTTTTTTATTTAGTTTTTTATTTATAAAAAAATTTTTTTAAAAAAAATAAATAATGGTTTCCAAAAATCCAAAAATACCAAATAAAGATTAGAAATGAAAGGTAAGAAACCCCCCCAAATTGCCAGGGACGCCTAAAAATCCCAATTACCAAACTAAATTTCACACCCTTCGGGAACCGCCACAAATTCAGGATTTTGGCGGAATAAAAGCCAAAAGAGGAGGAAAAATAGAGCCCCTTTAGACTCCAAATCCCCCCCCCCAAATCCA